GACAGGGTCGTCCCAATATGCGTTTTTGCAATTTGCATATAGGCAAAAACGCATAAAAAACGACCGTTGTACGGAAATTGCTACTTTTGTTTATGCAAAATTTATGATGATTTATGGCACTGAGCACAAAAGGTAGGTGTGAAACATCTATTCATGCAGTTAACCTGATTACTTCAAACTTGATGCAAAAACGCATAATCGCACCGGCAAGCCTGGTGCGCTTCGGCCTGGATTAATAACAGTAGTAATTATTAATAATAGTAATAATTATTGCCATTATTATTGTCATTGATAATATTAATAATTACAGCAAAAACGTTGTTTTATCATGATCCGTTAAATGCAGTGATCATTTTCTTGCAAACCATTTACTCAATTCCCAATCACGGCAGTTGGTATAGCACAAATCACTAACCTGCCCCTCCTGATCGTATGCACTTTGTCGGAGTCGATGGTGTCCACTGTCCATTTTGACAAACTGCTGCGACGGTACCAGTAGGTACATATCCAAAACCGCACCGTATGTTTGCTGTTGTCATTGCTGGATAAGGTGGCCGTATGGCACCGTTGGAATATACAACAATGCCGTTGCCTGGTGATGGATAATCGCTCAAACAGTTACCGTATTCGGCACCAAATTCTGGAATGCAAAACATTCTTATATGCGAAATTGCCGCAGAAAACAAATCAAGCTATCGTAATCAAATTTTTTGTTTAGCTGTTGCAAACGAAATGCAAAATTCAAGTCTCGAATTTGAGAAACGGTGAGACTATCATAACTTATTTGCAGTTTATTGAGGTGAGAGGCATTGCAGCCTCCATATCATGGTCACTAAGATATAGGTTTAAGATATTTTGAAACAAAAAGACTTTGGAAAGCATTTTTGCGGCTACTCGTTTCTCCAAACAACTCTCGTGCAAAAAAAACACTGCCAAAGTTTTAAGGAAATGGTGGTGATTGAACGAAATATCTGTCGAAATGCCACTGAGGCAGAATTTTGCGCAACAAAGGGTTGAACTTTGGAGCGCTGCTTGCGCTACGTGCGGTTGAACGTTGACATGCAAAAGTTAGAGAACGAATAGCCGCATCACATTCTGTAATTCGTTTATTTGCTATTGTCCAGTTTGTGCGATAGCTAATTGTTGAGTTTCTTCACCTTTCCTATCTTTCTCAGACAGTAAACGGCACAAAATATATGGCGAGAATTTCTTTTGCAAATTCGTGAAAAATTCTGGGATTATTAGCTTCGACTGCTGCTCTCAGCCCTTAGTGGGTAATCTCCAAAACTGTAGTCCTTAAAAAACAGCATTGCGGTGTTGCTCATCTACAGAGGCTTTTTTGGATCCAAACCTTGCTGACTTTTAAGCTGTTGTGCTGGATTATAGCCTAATTCACGAATAAAATTTGTGAAAACCTTATTTTGATATCTTATTTTTATGCGTTATTTGCAGCAATGTAATGCGAAAAACGCACATTGACGAGAGGTTGTCTGTGTGTCCGTGTGTCTGTGTGTCTGTGTGTGGTCTGTCACGCACTTTCATCTCAGGACCTATAAAAGCTGCGGGGCTGAAATTTCGGGAACTTAATCTGCG